TGGACTCCTCTGAAAAGCAGCTTTGCTTTGGAAGATCAAAAGATTAGGAACAGAGTAATACCTCTGAGCCTGGAGTTTCTCTTGATGAGTCTTCACTTTTCACTCTTTTACAATGCATCTTAGCTATAGCATGCCTTTGTCGTTTTCGCCTTCTTGGTTTATCAAATATCTTGGTAGTGCCTATGACAGAAAAACATGTGTTACCTGCTAATGAATGATACCCAAGTGCAAGAACTCCTATCCTCAACTAAAGGACCCTCATAGAATTACGGAATGTTAGAGTAAAAACTAACCTTGAATTTACTGTTCAATTCTCTAACTTTGTAGATGAGGAAACCAGGGGCAGAGAGGTAAAGAGACTTACCAATGACTATATAAGTAGTTGGGGAATCAGCTACAAATGTATAAATTCTGTCTCATACAGGTTTAATAATAAGTTGTATAGGTAGGTTACTAAAGCAATTCCATTCTACAACAGTGATTTTCAACCTTTTCATCTCATGGCACACATAGACTAATTACTAAAATTCTACAGCACACCAAAAAATGTATTATATTTTATTTGTGGATCGTACAAAACAAAAAAAGGTATAATTTTGTTTCGAATTTTGATTCGTTCACCAGACAGCTATTATTGTGTTGGCTGTTGGCTTCTTTTTTTTGACAATCTAAGGGAAAAGAGGTCAGTGCCCCTGACAAAAATTGGTATTGCATGTTTTAAAAATACTTGTGGCACAGTGGTTGAAAATCACTGTCCTACATGGTTGAAATAAAAGACTTCCTAGTTCCTCAAAGGACTTTAATATCCTATAGATGAGGAGAAAATACTTTTATATAGTCAGACCAAAATACTAAAACTTGGTTTCCAAGATTAAAGATAGTAAATTATATCACTCTATGACTTAAGGATTAAGATGAAAAGTTGAAATATATAAAATTTGGCTTAGCACTAGTGGGTTTGGCTCAGTGGATAGAGCATTGGCCTGCGGATTGAAGGGTCCTGGGCTCAATTCCGGTCAAGGGCACATTCCTAAGTTGTAGCTTTGATCCCTGGCCCTGGTTGGGGTGTGTGCAGGAGGCAACCAATTGATGTGTCTCTCACATTGATGTTTCTCTCTGTCTCTTCCCTTCCCTTACAGTCTTTCTAAAAATCAATGGAAAAATATCCTCCAGTGAGCATTAACAAAAAATAAATATAAAGTTTGGGGTAGAGAAAGGGGAAAAAGAATATTTATATATTCATACAGTAGTACTATGACCTTGACCATTCAACAATAAAAAGTGAAAGTGTGGTCTGACATATTTAGAAAATGAAATTCCAGTCTCTCATTTTCTATTATACATACTTTAAATCTTGTTACAGAAATATCAAGAGGAATCTAAAGAGATGTTTCATACTATGTTTCAAGATATTTAGCCTAGGTATCAACAGAGCCTGGACTTTGGAAAACTGCCTTAGTTCTTTCTTGGACTGCCTAATTGAGATGAAGATCTGCTATCAACACAACTGATAGCCTATGACTAAAGAGAGGTAATGTAATGGCAGAGGTAAGGTCCAAAATTCTCATAAGCATAAAAATTTTTTAAAAAAATTTATGTATATTTTTATTGATTTCAGAGAGGAAGGAAGGAGAGAGAGAAACATCAATGATGAGAGAGAATCACTGATCAGCTGCCTCCTGCACGCCTCCTACTGGGGGTCAAGCCTGCAACCCCGGCATGTGCCCTTGACCAGAATCAAACCTGGGACCCTTCAAGCTGCAAGCCGATGCTCTATCCACTGAGCCAAACTGGCTAGGGCACAAGCAGAACAATTCAGATGAAATATACAAAGAATAAAGTGCAAGTTGTATGTTTTACCAAAAAAAAAAAAAATTAAGTATGAAAGAGCTAAAATTATTTTGTAAGCAGTTTTTTAAAAAAGCAAGCAAGACAATAGAGTGTTGAAGGCCTGGGAGGCCTGGGAGGGGTGGAGAAGGTCAATGGGAAAAAAAAACACAAACAAACAAAAGGGACATCTTAGTACTTTCAACAATAAAGATAATTTTTTAATTAGTTCAGGGGAAAAAAAAAAAGCAAGTAGCCCTGGACAGTGTTGCTAAGTGGTTGGAGCATCAGCACCTAAGGAAGGCAACCAACTGATGTGTCTCTCCCACATTGATGTCTGTCTGTCTGTCTGTCTCTCTTTCTCCTTCCCACCCCTTAGTTCTCTATAACCCCCCCTCCCACTCTCTTTCTGAAAATCAATTTAAAAAATATCCTCCAGTGAGGATTAACAAAAAAAAGGCAAGCAAGCAAATTGATAAACCTAAGAATTACAATTATACACAAGGTTAAAATAATCTAATATATTGCTACATTTACTTGCTAAAAAACTCAATAAACATACATCACATTTAAAGAAGTATGGCCCTAGCAGGTCTGGCTCAATGGATAGAGAATCAGCCTGCGGATTGAAGGGTCCCGGGTTCGATTCTGGTCAAGGGCACGTGCCCAGGTTGTAGACTTGATCGCTAGTAGGGGGCGTGCAGGAGGCAACCTATCAATGATTAACTCTCATCATTGATTTTCTCTCTCTCTTCCCCTCTAAAATCAATAAAAAATATATTTTAAAAAGAGAAAGTTTTTTTTTTAAAAGAAGCAGTATGCATTTATTACCACATGAGATATAATCTCCCCATGATACCCTTTGCTGGCAGACCACATCTGATGCAGTGGGCTCAAATCTGGGCTAATATCTCAGGAATGATAATAATCAATAAATGTCATTGGCAGACAAATTATCAAAGTGGTTCAAAAAATTGGCATGGAGAAAATCTGGGGTGGATAACAACAAAGTAGTGTAGCAATGAATTTAGTTGAGTCTGGATTTAGTTCTCCAACACTGCCATCTCTTTCATGTTCATTTTTGTCCTATAAAATAAGAGATAGTATTAACAACTAGAGGCCCACTGCACGAAATTCATGCATGGGTAGGGTCCCTAGGACTGGCTGGTGATTAGGGCTGATCGGGGCCCAGTTCCAGCTGCTGGCCAGGGCCTTCCTTTGTTTTGTGCCACCCCCTGGTGGTCAGCACTCATCATAGTGAGTGATCGAACTCCCGAGGGAACAATCTGCATATTAGCCTTATATATATATAGATGATGAAGCCCTAAGCCAGTGGTTCTCAACCTTCCTAATGCTGCGCCCCTTTAATACAGTTCCTCATGTTGTGGTGACCCCCAATTTCATTGTTACAAATTGAATATAATTAAAGCATAGTGATTAATCACAAAAACAATATGGAATTATATATGTGTTTTCCAATGGTCTTAGGCGACCCCTGTGAAGGGGTTGCGACCCACAGGTTGAGAACCACTGCTTTAGATGGATTAGCAGTAATAGTCCTATGCAAGGGAGCTGGTAGAGTAAATGCTCCAACTATAACTATGATATCCATTATTGAATGAAGGGCAGTACATTCCACCTGTGTGCTGAACCAAAATCACAAGTTGAAGTTCCAGGAGTCAAATTCCAATTTAATCGAAAAGATTCCAAAGCCCTTAAGAAGCAACCACAATGGACTAGGCGCAAATGTAAGCTCTCTTTTTCAAGCATATGCTCAGATTATCCTATCCTATCTAATAAAAGACAAACGTGGTAATTGGTGTACGACCGCGACCCTTCCCATTGGCTAATCAGCGAGATGTGCAAATTAACTGCCAGCCAAGATGGCAGCCGGCAGCCAGGCAGCTTAAACTGAACATGAGGCTTGCTTGCTTCAGTG